TTTTTTTTTTTTTTTTGGTTTCCCAGGACTTCTTACTGCTACAGTGGCTAAATCTTGTACTGAGTGCTTGAGAAAAACATTTAAGTTTCACAGCTCAGTAAATCTATGCATAATAATGCTGGAACTTGGTTTGTTGGGTAGAATATTTGTGTGTATGAATGGGTCTCCAGTTACCACCATGATATACTTTTAGATTTCTGTATACACTTTCCCCCTAATTCGAGAATTGTATTTCTATTTGTTAGTTTGTTTCTGGTTGACTCGCATGTATTACTTTATCTTTGAGTTAAAGACAGCATTAAAGGATCCCTTCTAGGGTTATGTAAAAATGAAAAATGTAAAATGTTGCACTTTGATTTTATTCTCACTGATAGATAATGTTTTTTTAGTGATCATGCAGATAAAAATCATTATGGTGTAGTGCGACAGTTTGTTGGCCATGGGGTTGGACGTGTTTTCCATGCTGACCCTGTTGTTCTGCATTTCAGTTAGCTTTCTGATCTCAACCTTTTTATCTTCGTTGGCTGAATTTTCTTTAGTCAATATTTTGATGTCATATGGCTCATGTTTATATTGGCTTGTTTCAGGGAATAATGATGGTGGTCGCATGGTTCTGAATCAAACCTTCACTATTGGTAATGTATTTGTCCTCTAATTTACCTCTTAAATTTGCCATTGCTTGGTTGTAAAAAACTGAAAAGTAGTAGGAAACTAATTAGCTTGGAAAAGGTCAGGCAAATAAAATCATTATCTATTTTTCCTAAAAAAATGATAAAGGAGATCTTTTCATACCTGTGTTCTGTGGACTAAGTATCAATTCTAGTTAATTTTCTCAAGCAAACTCAGGTTGAAGCCCCACTGACCTAACAACTCTTGGGGCTGAGATTCACACGAATATCAAGGCCTCAAATCTCAAGTTGTTAGCAGTGGATGAGCATGGTCCTACCACTCATAATCACAATTCCTTCCCTGGTGTGGGATATATGAGGGCGTCACATGATATTAACTCAATGCCTATGTAGGTTGATTTGATATTAGATAAATCCAGTCACACATTATTAACTCAATGCCTATGTTGGATGATTTGATGCTAGATCCAGTTAAATACAAATGTTTGACACATCTTTGAAGAGATACAACTCACAAGTCATAATTGGACTGTCACACTGAGAACCATCGGACAAAAAATTGATATAAAACATCATGCACATTGAACTTGATGCTATTTTGATCCTTTGTACGTTGACAAATCATCATTCCCCTTACATTATCTTATTGTATCGTAGGTTTTTAAATCCTTTCTATTCACATCATGGTAAATATTGCAGAACCAATGCTGACCATTGGTAGCATCAATCCTGTAATGTGGGATGATAACTGGACAGTGGTTACCGAAGATGGAAGCTCATCAGCGCAGTTCGAGCACACAATTCTGATAACCGAGGATGGAGCTGAGATACTGACCCAGTGTGATGACTGAAAATTTGAAGTTGTACCATAAGCAGACCATCCTCCCACAATTTTTTTTATCACCTAGATTTCATAAGCTTGCACCTCTCAAGTTTCGAACCAAATATGTCATTGTTTCCTGGAGCACCAGTGATTCCATCTGTTATACCTTTTTTTGTTCATTTTTCTTAAATGTTCTTGTCGGCATGAAAAACATTCTAATGTGAAGCAGTGTAAAAGAATAGTGATGTATCGTTTATTCGTTCCATGTAACCATTGGAAAATTATAAGAACATTCTTCATCTTATGGTGATATTATATCATTACATATAATTAGTGAATAATAATTTCATGTATCTCCCTAATGATTTGTATCAACATTTTTCTAGACTTTTGATATGTGTATTGTGCTAAATTGTTCTAATCTATATTATATACACTTTTTAATGTTATCTTTATATAAAGCTGTTAGTTTAAATATTATAATGAAAATTTGTAGTGTAATTTAAATTGTATGATATTAGTGAGTATTGAATAAGGAATAGGCTTCTTGATTTTTGGATTTTCTTTTTATTCAACTATTTTTGTTTTGTAATTCATTATAATTTAAATTACAAATAGAAAAGTAGGAGATTCATATCATAATCCTAATTTGTAATTGTGAGCAGGATGATTCTAACGTTGTCAATGGTAAGATGGCCAAACCACCATTGTGGCCCAATTGCAACAATTTCTTGGCAAAGTATGGTTATATTTGGAAGTTGAAGTTTTTTAAAAATATAATGATATTTAGAAGTCTAGGTTTTTTAAAAGTATGGTAATATTTAAAAGTTCTAAGTTTTAACTATTGTTAATTTTATTTCTTATCATTCAATTGTACTGGTTATTAAAAAAAAAAACAGAAAAAAAAGGGAAACGGTAAGGAGGATTCCCGCCAAGTTCTTAGCTTTATATTCTCCATTAAACAACCTGACTTGCTCCAGTTCTTTCCTGACAATGAGATGATAAGTTGGCGCTCACAAAGAGCTCTCTCATCTCTCTCCACAACCCGTCCCAAACTCTCCTCTTTAGAACTCAACAATTTACTTCGACTTTGCAGCAACGCGAAATCTCTAAACCAAGGCAAACAAGTTCATCCCCAAACAATTGTGCATGGGTTTCATCAAAACTCTTTTGTAATTACCAAATTAATCCAGATGTATGCCGATTGTGAAGATTTGGCATCTGCCCATAAACTGTTCGACCAAGTACAGCAACCAAATGTGTTTGCTTGGACTGCAGTATTGGCATTCTATTCAAGGCATGGATTGTACGAGGAATGCGTTGGAGGTTATTATAAATTAAGAAGTTTAGGCGTTTTGCCGGATGGTTATGTGTTTCCTAAGGTATTACGGGCCTGTGGGCAGTTACTGTCTTTAGAATCAGGGATGTTGGTGCACAAAGATGTGATTGTTTGTGGGTGTGAACTCAATTTAGAGGTAAGTAACTCTTTGATTGATATGTATGCTAAGTGCAGGGATATTACGAGTGCAAGGCAGGTGCTCGATGAAATGCTGGAGAGAGATTTGTTATCATGGAATTTGATGATTTCGGGTTATGTGAGCAATGGGTTACTTGAAATGGCTGTGGCATTTTTGTATTATATGAGATTGGATGGTTTTGAACCTGATACTGTGACATTGAATATGATAATGGATGCTTATTGCCTTATGGGGAGATGTGATGAAGCGTGGGAAATCTTTGAACAGAATAGAGAGCCTAATATTGTCTCATGGACTACTTTGATCTCTGGTTATTCAAGAATTGGGAAGCATGAAAAATCCTTGTGGATTTTCAAGGACATGCTCAATAGGGGTATGCTTTTGCCTGATTTAGGTTGTCTTTCTAGTGCACTTGCATCCTGCAGGCACCTGGGTGCCCTTTCCAGCGGGAAAGAGATCCATGGTTATGGGATCAAAATAATAACAGGGCATGCGTTCTATGGTTCAGCTGGTGCTGCCCTGTTGACAATGTATTCTAAGTGCAGTAGAAGTCAGGCAGCAAGGTATGTATTTGAACTGATGGACAAATCTGATGTTGTTACATGGAATGCAATGATTCTCTGTTTTGTTGATCTAGGATTGCGGCATTTGGCACTTGAATGTTTAGGTAAAATGCAAAGATTGGGAATTAGGAATGACCAAACTACTCTATCAACAGTTTTGCCAGTGTGTGATTTGAAATCTGGGCAGCAAGTTCACTCCTATGTCATAAAATGTGGGTTTGACTCTGTTGTTCTGGTTTGTAATGCACTGATACACATGTACTCAAAATGTGGGCACATTGAATATGCATACTCTATATTTACTACAATGGTTAATAGAGATTTAATATCATGGAACACAATGATTGGAGGGTTTGCGATGCATGGAATTGGCCAAGTTGCTCTTCAGCTGCTCCCACAGATGGTTAATTCAGGGTTATGCCCCAATTCCTTGACTTTCACTTCTGCACTATCAGCCTGTAACCACTCAGGTCTTGTGGAAGAGGGGCTTAAACTATTCCACAGCATTTCAAATGACTTTGGCTTGGCCCCTAGGATGGAGCACCATGCTTGTGTCGTTGACATGCTTGCACGTGCTGGTCGGCTTGAGGATGCCCTCAACTTTATTCACGAAATGCCTCTAGAACCCAATAAGCGCATTTGGGGTGCTCTATTTGCTGCATGTCAAGAGTACCAAAATGTTAATATTGGAAAGGTAGCTGCTGAGCATTTGATCTGCTTGGAACCCGAGAATGCCGGCCACCATATTACACTATCAAATATATATGCCAGAGTCGGTAGATGGGATGATGCTGTTAGGGTGAGGAAGCAAATGGAGGGAAGAGGCTTGACAAAGCAATCAGGAGAAAGTTGGATTGAAAGAGGAAGTTGAATATCTTCTGAATTTCTTGGTTGTGGTCCAAGGAGGACTGAATAATGCTGGTCTTCGCCGAGTAGGCACTGATGTTGCAGGCTCGAATAATGCTGATCAGGATAGATTGAGATTGAAGAGGTGTTTATTTAGCCATTCAAATGCAATTGATAACTAATGTTCGATATCTCTTTTATAATTCCAAGACACTTATTTGTCTGATTAGAGTTAATAATTTGTAAATGTTCCTTTGACAGTTACAGAAAAGAAAAAATGGAGGAGAGCAACGGGGATGGGGTCTACCCCTACTGGTACTGGAACCTTAAAAACTTCCAGAATAAAAAAGGGGTCCTGTCCAGTGCCTGTAGCGGCAAAGGTGGTTCAACGTTGACATTGATGACGTGACACCTGTTCTGTACCATCCCCGATCCAATTGTTGACCTCTCATCGTTGCCTTTTTCCTTGCCTACAGGAATTTCCTATTTTCCCCTCCAACTTCCGAATTCCACGACCTCTTCAAAATTAAAAAACAGAGATTACATACTTTCTCTCGTTTTCCCGTGAACCAAACAAAGCACCAGCATGGACTCTGCGCATGTTAACTGGGAAGCTCTGGACGCTCTAATTATCGATTTCGCCAAATCAGAGAACTTAATTGAGGACTCATGCTCGTCGTCTCCGTCTCTATCCTCCTCATCGTACCATTTCAGATTGATCATTCGCCAGATCAGGCAGTCGCTGGAGGCTGGGAACGTTGATGCCGCCATCGATCTCTTTCGAAGACACGCGCCTTTTATCCTTGACGATCATCGCCTTCTCTTCCGGTTACAGAAACAGGTTCTGTTTGGTTGCCCTGAGAGATGGCAGTTACATGGAACTATTTACCTTTTAACTTTTAGATTTAGGCCTTTTTTTCTTTTTTTCTTTTTTTCTTTTTTTGAATAGTTTTGTTTAATTTTCCAATTCTTTCTTTCTCTATTCTGTCGCAGAAATTTATTGAGCTGTTGAGAAGAGGAACTGCGGAGGATCGTGACTCTGCAATTGATTGCTTGAGGACGTCTCTTGCTCCTTGTGCTCTTGATGCCTATCCGGTACCCACAGCTTCATTATTTTATGCATTGCATATGGATTTTGGCATCTTATTAGTTTGTATGCGTCTTTTATTTTTTGGTGTACATTTCCTTTTGAATAGTCTTTAATGAATGGGATTGGTAATCAAGTTTTGCCAGATAATAGTTATTGAAATAGAGTTGCAACGATTTCTTTGTGATAGATATTAGCAATCAATTTATGTGGTTGAGATATTTCAGTTGTTGAGATGTCTGCTTCTGTGTTTAAGGAAGCGTATGAGGAATTCAAGCATGTACTTCTTGCCTTCGTATATGACAAAGATGATCAAACTTCTCCTGTGGCAAATGAGGTGGGCCGTAACTTCCCTGTATACAACCATTTCTCTACAGGACTTTAAATAGGTAGTTTTTAATTTTTTATTTGCAATTCTGTTGGTACTTGCTCATCAAAGAGGAAAAGATGATGGACAAGTTTTCTTTATAGGGAAGTATGAGATTTGTATAATTTCTTTATTTTCTAAGCATCAATAAACATGGATACTTATGATAGGGTATGGCTTCTAATTAAAGGTAGTGGATGCGGTGAATTTGAAGTTGCTTGCATAAACAAGTAAAAGAAGTAAAGAAGGGGAAATTGAATATTACATTTAAGTTTCAAATCTCCCTTTTAGGTTGTTTGGTTACGTTGTAACTTGTAATATCTGCAAATCTTGAATTTGTTAAGAGTATATTTGGGAAAAAAAAAAGAAAGAACTAATGTTGTTCTTGCACAGTGGGCAGAGAGGAGGAGATTTGAAATTGCTGGACTAATGTCTTCTGTTCTAAGAGTCCATTTACATGCATATGATCCAGTCTTTTCAATGACATTGAGATATTTGATAAGGTATTATTTATATTTAATGTTTTTATTTGCGCAGGATATTTTTTTATTGATGGTTTCTATGTGATTATTGTTTCTCTGTATTCTCAGCATACATAAAGTATTCTTCTTTCGACAAGGAATTGTGTCACCAATTTCAGATCTTACCAAGAGGTTGCTCCTTGAGGAGCCTGATCTCCCTGCAGCACCTCCAGAGAGTATGTATGAAGCACCTCCTTTTGATGAGGTTAGGTTTCTTTAGCTAGCTTTTAGAAGCTGCTTCGAGGCAAACTATCTCGTCTTGGCTTCTAGGAGCTGATGCATGGATTTGCAACTGTTATTATTATTATTATTATTATTATTATTGTTAGGCAGATGGATGACATTGAAATATTTAAACCTTTTGTTTTTGACTTTAAACGCAGAATGATATACAGGCTCTTGCACATGCTGTAGAGCTTACTAGACAAGGGGCTATTGATAGCTTGAGATTTGCCAAGGGTGATTTATTTCAGGCATTTCAGGTTGTAAAAACTCCTTTTGTTATTTACTATTTTTTAATACTATGGTATTTAAAATTTAGTGTTCAACAATGAAAGTTTTAGCCTTTGGCTACGCTAGTTTGGGACAATTGAAATTCTAATATGCTGCTCACTTAAGTTAACTGAAAAGAAAAGCTATCAACACCAAAAATTTATTGTAATCTTAAAAATTTTAGAAATCATTGCAATCTTTATCACCTGTCACTATTTATCAATTTGGAATCTTTGCAGTTACAGTGGATCATAGTCTTGTTGTCTGCCATTTAACATATTAAAAAGTCTCTCTCTCAATTCTAAGGATGGCAAAATACCTATTGGGATCATTTTTCCCCGTCTCAGTGGAACTTAATCACCATTGCTGTATCTGTGGGATGCCCAGCCAGTTAATTCACCTTAATTTGTCCTTTTTGGGTTGTTGAGAATTTATTTATACGTTTTCTTATGCAGAATGAATTATGTCGGATGAGGTTGGATATTTCCACTCTCGATGAACTTGTGCATGAGTATTGTGTTTATAGAGGAATTGTGGATTCTGGTCTTGCTTCCCCTTCTGGTGAAAGCTCTGTAGTTTATCTTTTTATTTAACAATTTGCCACAATCTATTTTTCTTGTGTATAATTCTGATAAACATATTCTTTACCAGGAAGGCAAACTGTGTCTGAAACTTTAAAAGCTAATCAAGTAGAGCCTGGATATTGTTCCTCAAGAAACTCATCTTTTGAAGTAGATTGTAATGAAGCTAAGCAATTAGATGTTGAAACTTTCATGAGTAATGCTAAGTTTGATGGCTCACCAGAAAATAATACTGATGTGACTAGCCAGCAAGTAGGTGATGCTGAAGTAAGATATGCTTGTGAGTCAGCCATCAAAATTGAAGGTTGTAGCACTAGTGAATCACATCAGCCTGGAAATTCAACATATCTGAAAAACAAAGCCCATGGAACTGGAGAAAGGAATAAACGGAAGCGTTGGAGGGGAAGACATGATGAATTTGGTGGCACCCCTGATGTTTCTTGTATGGGCTGTAGTAAGGAGGAAAGATCAGCAACCTCAACTACTGGCATAAATATATCAAAGGAACGGCAGGTGTGTTTGCGTTATTTCAAATTTTGCATCAGACTTTATTTTGATAGTTGCTAAATGTTAACTGATCAAACCTTTGCCTGCAGGGGGTAAAAAATCTTGATAGGGAAGATAAATATCAAATTGTTCTGGGGATAAAGGAACTAACCAGTGAAGGTATGGCTGCTGAGGTTGTGGAGGAAATTAATACCATGGATCCAAAATTTTTTCTCCAAAATCCTATTCTGCTATTCCAACTCAAGCAGGTGAGTTGATTTTCTCTTGAGCAGAAAAATGGGGTGAATATGCTGTCAATGACTTCATCAAGAAAATATTTAGGTATTAATCTGTTTTTTTTACTAACAATGGAACATCTAGAATGTCAAGTATAACTTCTCTATTGGTTTTAGGTTGAATTTCTAAAATTGGTCAGCTCTGGTGATCATTCTGGTGCTCTAAGGGTTGCATGTTCCCATTTAGGTCCATTGGTAGCAAAGGACCTTGCATTGTTGAAGCCCTTGAAGGAGACTTTGTTGGCTCTACTTCAACCTAATGAAGATGCTTTAAGAAGAGGCATGCCTTTACATGCACTAGCGACATCAATTCAGGTGCGATGATTATTATATAACTGACTTCTTTACTGTTAAATGATAGCAAAATGCACTATTCATTATCGTGAGTTTTATATTTTGTTAAACTGTTGTTTTTGTAGATTATGATGTATAAGACATTCTAGCTAGTTGCAATTTTTTCTCTTTATCAAGGGAAATTGACTAAAAAATTTTGAGTAATGTAATGCTTTACTATTTTTCTATGCTACTACTTTTATAAATAAGTTTCTTTTGTTCTTAGCTTTTATTATAAATTCATCATGGTAATCACAAATTTCTTGATTTTGATTGCCATAATGATAGATATAGAGATTGAAACTATTTAAAGTGAATTAGAGAGCTGAAAGAAAACCATTTTGAGTGTTCTGATGGAAGCAATTGTCCTATTTCCTTTGCATTTTTGCTGAAAATTTTTACATGGAGTTTCTTATTTTATTCTACATCTTAAAAACAACTTAAAGGAAAAGTTGGTTTCAGCTTTCTTTTCAGTGCAAGCAAACTTCTATTATATTCTTATCTAAATTGTTAGTTATTTTGACTTTTTGAAATGTGTTTATGTTTCTAAATATGTAGCTAATAATTTTTTTTTTCTTGCATAGAACATAATTATGTTGTTTTTTTCCTCTTTTGTTTTTATCTTATATAGGTTGCTGTTGGTAAGAAAATTGGTATTGATGAGCCTCTACTCATGAGGATAATGAGAGCAACCCTTCACACACATACTGAATGGTTTAAACTCCAAATGTATAAAGATCGTTTTGAAAAGCTTCTTAGAATAGATTTGCTAAAGGAAAATAATGTTGCTTTCCTTGTTTCTGATGCCACATTAAAATCAAATGTTGATGGTTGCAACCTTGGATCTTCACAAGTTACACTCTCTTCAAGTACTTGGACATCAGAAGATGGTAGCAATCCTAATCAATCATTTTCCATTGATGTTTGTGATGAGAATGCAATCCTGAAAGTAATGGTAAGTTGAGCATGTTCCTTGTACATACAAAACTTAAATGGTTTTGCTGCTAGATCCAGTAGTGCTACTTCTGTTTTTTTTCTATATCATGCGTTTGATTTTATATGTGGACTTTGGTTTCTTAAGAATGTTATAAGTTTATATCTTTGTTTTGTGTAGGAATTTCTTGATTTGCCAAGGGCTGATGCCATCTATCTCCTTGCACAATACAATGGAAATGCAGAGATTGTAATCCAACAATTATTTGCGTAGTTTTAGTTTTACTGCTATTCTACCAAAAGTGTTTTTTCTTTTTTTAATTTGTTATTTGTCATTGGATTTATTCAATTTGTTTCATCGTTGATATAAAACTTTCAAAATGAGAAAACCTGCCCCTTTACAAAAGCTCTCTTCCCAGCATTATTTTATATATTTTAGCACAATGTGTCAATCTTTTCAAATTTAAAGAAATTATCATTGTTAATAGCAATATGAATAAACTATTGAATTTATTCAAGAGTGACTACGGTATCCCATTGGTTAATTTTGCAAAAACTCATGAATTATTTTTCCAAAAGTAGAAGCACGTGAAGTTTGATAGCCAGAGCACAAGTGTTTCTGGCCAAAAACAAATTGCATTATTAATCAGACAGAGGAATATAAATCCGTAAGTCATTAATTTCAAATCATTTGCTTATTCTTTTCTCTGTCTCTCTTTTTTTTTTTTGGACACAACTTTTTTATTCCCAATTACCATCAAGAAAACAAGTGTAATCCATGGTAGAAGACACATTAATCTTCTTCCTATGGAAGGTTGGTCCCTACAAATTTCAACTCTCTGAGCTTCTTTTCCTCTGATAGTAGTTTCGCAACCCTACAATGTATCAGTAAAAGAACACATATTAGTGATTCTAATAAAATCGATAGAAAATTTTTGTATGAGAGTCTATTAATTATTCTTCTACCTCTTGAGTGCTTCTTTATTGGTGCCACCATTTTCCACTGGTTCATATAAACCGGTATCCAAATTCATGCGACTAACCGTTTTGTTCAACAGGCTCTCCCCAAATTTCACAAGATTTTCTAAATTCTCCTGTGTAGCTGTGTCACCTGATGCCAAATCTCCCTGTAAATTATCATCCTAGTTTTCCAAGCACAAGTCAATAAACACAGACCATTTGAACAAATACCCCTACTAACCACATATATAAACCAAACCAGAGCAAACTGAATGTAAATGCCAAGCTTACATTAATTCGAAGGTAGCTGTGCTCCGAATTAAGGGCTTGAAAAACTGCAACATTATGATACTCAACCATGTCTTTGCTAGCATTGTTATAACAATCTATTATTGGGGTATTCCCATCTTCATACAACCAGCATATAATACCCCACTTAGAAGACATCTTAGCATTGTATTTTTGCTCAGATTTGTTGGAGCCTGTCCCCAAGGAGACCACAAGAAACCGAGTGTAATCCAGGGTCTTGATATCGGGGAAGAAATCTGGATTCTTCTTGGTTATTTGTTTGATCACTTCACTAATAGCAACCAATGTCTGAAAAATCTTAAAATAACAATGTTATTCTTTCTATTTCAAAACAATAGATATTTTTAATTTAAAATAGTAATTATTTTATATTTTAAAAGAGAATTTTTTTTTCATTTAACTTTATTAATATCCTTTTCCTTTAGTTATATCCATCCTATTAGTATACATATAAAAAAATTCATTCTATATCATGATATTTTTATTACTTATAGAATAATATAGGTAGAAACATATAATCAACAACGTGGTTTGGTAGCATACGTACTAGCAAAAGGTTACTTTTTAGTCATTTATTTTATTAGATTTGTTAGTTTTAATTCTCTATTTTATACTATGATACTTTTAACCTTTCATTTATTAGAATTAAAAAAAATAACCCTCACTTATAACATTTTGTTAGTTCTATTAGCTGATAAAAACTTATTTTTAGTTAATAGAGTTAACAATCAGTTAACAAAACTATTCTATTAACTGACTATTAATTAATTATTAACTAGCAAAAAGCTATTTTTAATTAACAAAATTAGCTAATAGAGTTAATAATTATCTAATAGAATTAACAATCAATTAACAAAATTAATGAAATATTATAAAGTGAGGGGTATTTTCTTCAATTTTAATAGGTGGAGGCTAAAAGTGTTATAGTATGAAGTGAGGAATTAAAACTTACAAATCTAATAAGATAAGAGGCTTAAAATAAGTTTTTACCCGTACATGTCCCTACGTATCAAAATCTGAAAATATATATTTTAGGTTAAACCCTAATTTGGTCCCTAAACTATTATATAGATCCTCCATTTGGTTTTTAAACTTAAAAAATCCTTGATTTGGTCCCTAAATTATTGTACGAACCCCCAATTTAATCCCTAATATTTATCAATTTGCCCCAAGTTGATCTTTCTGTACAAAAAAAAGCTGACGTGTTCATTACTTAACAGCAAAAAATAGCAACTTAACAACAAAAAACAATAACTTAACGATTACGTGTTACGTTAATAACAAAACACGTCAGTTGATTTTTGTACGGAAAAACCAATTTGGGGTAAATTGGTAAACAGTAAGGATCAAATCAAAGGTCCGTACAGTAGTTTAGGGACCAAATCTAGAATTCTTTTAGTTCAGGGACCAAATTAATGATCCATATAATAATTCATAGATAAAATTAGAGATTTAACCTATATTTTACCATTGGGGATAGGGGGAGTATTATTCACTGTGCAATTGTTTAGGACAGTACTCAACCGTTTTTTCTTTCCAACCCATTAAAACAAGTTATGTTAGAGAGATTACGGGATTAGTAGCTGCTACGCCACCATCAATCATGTTGAATTCTTCTTCATTGCCATTCTTGTCCCTGTTCTTAAAATAATAGGAAGGAAAGGAAGTTTCCGCCGCAGAAGTGGCTATGCAGATGTCTGAGAGGGCAGCATCGATTACTGGACGGCTTGTAACCTGCACTTGAAAAATTAATCTCAACAGTATATTAACCTCTCTCTAGCCTTCATCCCATCAGGCCTTATGTGTGCGCGTGCAAGTGTGTGTAACTGTTGTAAAAAAAAAAAAAAAAACCTGGTAGGAGGAGAAGATTATAGGCTGGAGTTTCTTGATGTCAAAAGTCGGAATCACAACATTTGTCAGTGTTTGATGCAACCTCGTATCCTTTAGTAGCTTCCTTAGCAGACTGTGAAGATATTTCCCATCATATTTGGGTCCGGTCAGAAGTTTCCACCAAGTAACCAACCAAGCAAATGGTCCACTGCAATAGATTTGGGATGAAGAATGAAGACAATACTATATAGATTTGGAATCAATGTTCTTTGTAATGATTAATGCATAGATTACCTTACTTGTGGGAAAATTTTAGGACAATTCTCAAGGTAGAAAGGGACTATCTCCTTGGCGGTGAAAAGAGGACGGTCATTTTCTTTTGGTGTCGTTAACATTGCTGTTATGAGACCACCGGTGCTTGTTCCAGAAATTACGTCAAAGTAATCAGCAAGCCTTGCGTCTTCGCCATCAAGCTTCTGTATATACACAAAAATGAAAACTAAACAAAATCGACAAAGCATTGAATCTGAAAATGTCTCAAGATGAAGATATGTTATCATCGGCACCTGAAGTTCGGATTCGAGAAAATCGAGCATAACGCCAGGAATGATTCCTTTTACTCCTCCTCCATCAATACTGAGTACAGTAATAAGATTCCCACATCTTGGAGGTTTAGGACATGAGGACATCATTGTCTCCACTAATTTTTGAATTTTGATCTTTTGGAAGTTGGACAGAGAATGTGAGGTACCTGAAACTGTTGGGAGTTAGATAACAGAAATGCAATAGAGAGGTTGAGATAAATGGGACCGGCGTTTATGTATTCCTTGTTCGTAGATGAATGTGACGAAGGAAATTAAATAGGGATTGATGATACCAACATTGTATATAGAAATTGTAATTTTAGTACTCTACTTAAAAGTTGACTTTTGATGTTTTTTTGATAATTAGAGATGGAAGCAAACTCTTTGAAACCTCTGTCGTGCATTCTTTAATCATCAGGACTAACAGCAGTTTGGGTTCGGAGAGGAACTAAAAAATAAATAAATAAATAAATAATTAAAGGAATCAACAAAAGTGAAAAAAAGAAGAAGTTATTTTATAATCTAAACTATAATAGATTATAAAATAAAATTATTAAATAGAAAAACAACTTTTAATATTTAAGAGTTAGTTTTTATTAAATAGTATAAGTAGCAAAGTTTAAATTATAAAATATTTTTTAAAATAAAAAATTAAAATAGAGAAAGGAATAAGGCCATACATTAATACTCTCTCGAGGTTATTCCTTTGTGATTGTGAAGGTTATCATCATCCACTGGAACCATGACATATAGAAGGACATAAAAATGATTTCGACTTATTCCATTGAAAGGATGAGTGAGTTACTTCAGTTAAACCCCTTAGCTTTATCCATTAAATAAAAGAAATGATTAAATCATTATTCCCTTCTGCACGTCATTGTTTCTTTTTAGACATCAAAAGTTGCCCAGTTTGTCACCTGAGGGTGCTACTTTGGTTGGCAAATGGATATGGTTGCTAAAGAGTCTACTCCTCAACTTCTTCTTTATGATATGATATTTTTGAAGAGGTTAAATGAGGATATAATTTTTTATAAAATTTTTAATATTTATCTAAATGATGTTGTGATTTTAACTAGATAGAAAAAAAAGAATGTGAACATAATTAATATGTCAATTGTGAATTTTTTACAATAAAATTTTATTGCAAATTTTACATAGTCCATATAACATTCAATTTATAGATATGGATTGATTTATGCATCTAACTTTAATTTACAAAAGTCGGTAAAAATTATGCAACATCTTATTAAAAGATTTTTGTTATCAAAAATCATTTCACTATTCCTTTATTCTTTCAAGGCAAATATACACATAATATAAGAGGTTGATGACTTATAAAAGTTTATTGTTTTTTGTAATTTTGAAATCATGTTTTTTAAAGAAAAAGTGGCCTGGAGCTTGCTTCCAGCAGTAGAATTCCGAAATTTTTCTATATTCCAAGTATGAATAAGATAATAGAGTGGAATGAATTGACAATAACGATTAGTATACAACATAAGATGTAGATTAGATCATCTGATGATTATAATAATGGAGACAGATATAAATAGTTAAATGTGTTTCTCGTATAATAATAAAAAAAAATGTGTTTCTTGTATGATAAAGAAAAAATATGTTTCTTGTACTTCACTCCTTGGGTAAGGAAAAATTAAATGTGGAATTGTTGACTAAAGAAATCTTGTGGAAAATTTGACCTACCAATGGATTGATTTTTTTTTTTTTTTTTATCTGCAAGACATAGAATATATTGTACCAGACCTTCACGCCTCCGGATTTCTCCTCAAACTTTAATGTTTAGATTTAATTGGTTGGAAGTTCCATTCTTACAAACTATTTGAAAATTTTTTCCTTTTTCCATAATTCCCAATGTTCAAAAAATATATACATTTTATTAGAAAATAGTTGAGGATTAATATCTTTACACAACATTTTTATACAATTTTATTTGTCATTTAATTATTAACTCTTTTTTTTACTTTATTAAGATCCGTAATATTATATACATTTAATTATTTAATAATATAAGAAAACTATACACTAAAAAAGTTATATAAAAAATTATTTTTATATCATTATCTTATTAAGAGAGTAATCAGATAATACATCTCTTTCTAATCCCCTATACTACACAATTGATTAATTAATACATTTAGCAAAGAGATAAAGATTTACCCCAAAAATTAAAAAACAAAACAAAGAGATAATGATGTGGTTTTTTTGGATTCTATCTGTATCCTAAGGATACAGGATAATAATGTAAAAAATGTATATTTTTATAATTAATTTTTATTAAAAGTATAAATATTGATTTTGATTTAATCAATTAACCAATTAAAATCATTTGCGTGTTAGTGGTATTAAAATATATATCAATTTTTATAATTTTTAATATAAATTAATTATCAAAAAAATATTTATTGCATCCTTAAAAAAATTAGACAAACCTATGTTTTTTTAAAGTCCATAAAAATATGATTCTACGAGGCCCAAAGGTCTGATTTACATTAATTAATGGGCCTCCTGAATCTCACTCTTTTCCCAAAGCCCATAATTCGTTGCATTCAGAGAAGGCCTCTACTCTCCAGGTCCAATATTGACTCTTCCCGAAAGGCTTAAGATTCGTTTTGCTTCTCTCTCTGGTATCTTGTCCGTAATAAACTTATCTTTCATTGCCTCTGAGTCCAATCCAATATTTTATTTTTTTTTTATGCAGCCTGAGGTGGATTGGACTGATAGTTTATAACGCAGGGCATGATCCAGGCCCCATGTGATGAGGCAATAACTATTTTAACATAATCTCCAACTCCAACGTTTACAATATCAAAGTTCAAAGAGAATTCTATTGTCTAGTTTACGAGGCAATCATTTGGCATCATTTTTCGGTTTTCAAATGTTATACTAAGTTTAACTATCTAATTAAAGATTTCAACATCCCGACTTAGTGGCCAAGATCTTTAATTAAATATGGATCACCTTTTGTAGATTATGTTTTTAAATCTCATAAATCTTATTTTTTTTTTCTCTAAAATTACCTTATTTAAAAAAAAAAAAAGATTCTATCTAATTAAAGACAAAAAATTCAGTGTTAGTCATGCTAGAAAGTTCATTAAAAATTATCTTTTTATTAACTTCTTTAATAAATCAAACGCTAGCTAATAATTTAGGAAGAAACTTACCTGCCAACTAATCTATGAACCCCTTTAAGGTCATAAAACAAATTTTATGACTATCAAAAGATTAATGGCAGTTTTCTTAATCACCAATGACAACGAAATGTATGTAAGTATAAAATATTAGGCATTGATGTCCACCTGCAGGGTCTTTGTGGGGTTCATGTAGTAGGCAGACTAGGAACAAATTCTGTTATGGAATATTAGACTACCTTTTTATATTTCCGTAATACTAATAAAAAATTTCTTTTGCCATTGAAAAACAAAACAAAACAAAAACGTAGAAGGCAGACATGAGAGGCCTTAGGCCTGTGTTTCACTATGGTTTTTTTCCTTTATTATTGGAATTTCACAGACATTGAAACTTCAAATTTAAGAAAAGGTTGAAAAGTAGAGAACTGGGTTGTCAATTATTAAAGACCAATGCTCATTTGGAAGTCACGGTTATATATACCGTTTCCAAGTTTCCAATGCACTTCCTACATTCTTATGTAAATTCAGGAGTTATGGGCATCTAAAAGATTATTAATTGAAGCTTCTCACATGGAATTCAACTGCCCTTTGTTAGTAATTCATCTCTTGAAGTAGATTGTACTGAAGTTAAGTAATTAGATGTTGAAACTTTTATGAGTAATGCCAAGTCTAGTGGCTCATCAAAAAAATACTACTGATATGACTAGCCAGCAAGTAGGTGATGCTAAAGTAAGATTTGCTTGTGAGCTTGCCACCAAATTGAAGGTTGTAACACTAATGAATAACATCAGCCTGGAAATTCAACATGTTTGAAAAATAGAACCCATAGAACTAGAGAAACGAATAAACGAAAGCGCTAAAGGGGAAGACATGATGAATTTGGTGGCACCCTTCATGTTTCTTGTATGGGCTGCAATAAGGAGGAAAGATCAACAACCTCAATTGCTGGCATAAATATATCAAAGGAATGGCAAGTGTGTTTGCGCTATTTCAAAATTTGTATTAGATTTTATTTTGATAGTTGCTAAATGTTAATTGATCAAACCTTTATCTGCAAGGCATAGCAAATCTTGATAGGGAAGATAAATGTCAAATTGTTTTGGGGAGAAAGGAACTAGCCAGTCAAGGTATGACTACTGAGGTTGTGGAGGAAATTAATACAATGGATCCAAACTTTTTTCTCCAAAGTCCTATGATGCTGTTCCAACTCAAGCAGGTGAGTTGATTTTCTCTTGAGTAGAAAAATGGGGTGAATATGCTGTCAATGGCTTCATCAAGAAAATATTTAGATATTAATCTTTTTTTTTATTAACAATAGAACATCTAGAATGTCAAGTATAACTTCTCTATTGGTTTTAAGTTGAATTTCTAAAACTGGTTAGCTCTGGTGATCATTTGGGTGCTCTAAGGGTTGCATGTTCCCATTTAAGTCCATTGGCAGCAAAGGACCCTACAATGTTGAAGCCTTTGAAGGAAACTTTATTGGCTCTACTTCAACCTAATAAAGATGCTTTAAGAAGAGGCTTGCCTTTGCATGCACTAGTGACATCAATTTAGGTGTGAGGATTTTTATACAGCTAACTTCTTTACTATTGAATGATAGCAAAACACATTATTCATTATCATGGGTTTCCTATTTTGTTAAGCTATTGTTTTTGTAGATTATAATATAGAAGATTTTCTAGCTAGCTGCAATTTTTTCTCTTTAGCAACGGAAATTGGCTAAAAACTTTTGGTAATGTAATGCTTTACTATTTTTCTATGTTGGTCCTTTTATGGATAAGTTTCTCTTGTTTTTGGCTTTTATTATATATTCATCATGTTAATCACAAATTTCTTGGTTTTGTTTGCCATAATCACAAATATACTGATTGAAAATATTTAAAGCATATCAGAGAGCTGAAAGAAAACCATTTTGAGTATTTTGGTGGAAGTGATTGTCCTATTTCATTTTCATTTCTACTAAAAATTTTTACATGGATTATTTTATTTTGCTCTGCATCTTAAAAACAACTTAAAGGAAAAGTTGGTTTCAGCTTTGTTTTCTATGCGAGCAAACTTCTATTACATTCTTATCTGAATTGTTTGTTGTTTTGACCTCTTGAAATGTATTTATGTTTCTAAACGTGCAACTACTAATTTTTTTTCCTGCATGGAACATAATTATGTTGTTTCTTTCCTCTTTTGTTTTTTATCTTATATAGGTTGCTGTTGGTAAGAAAATTGATATTGATGAATCTTTACTTATGAGGATAATGAAAGCAACCCTTCACACACATACTAAATGGTTTAAACTCTAAATGTGTAAAGATTGCTTTGAAAATCTCCTTAGAATAGATTTGTTAAAGGAAAATAATGTTGCTCTCCTTGTTTTTGGTGCCACATCAAAGTCAAATGCTGATAGTTACAGCCTTGGATCTTCACAAGTTACTCTCTCTTTAAGTATCCACACATCAGAAGATGGTGATAGTCCTAATCAATCATTTTCCATAGATGTTTGTGATGAAAATGCAATATTGAAAGTAATGGTAAGTTGAGCATGTTCCTTGCACATACACAACAAGAATGAATTTGCTGTTGGATCCAGGAGTGTTGCTTTTGTTTATTTTCTATATTATGTGTTTGATTTTATATATAGACCTTGGTTCCTCACAAATGTCATAAGTTTATATTCTTTGTTTTGTGCAGGAATTTCTTGCTTTGCCAAGGGTTGATGCCATCCATCTCCTTGCATAATACAATGGAAATGCTGAGACTGTAATTTAGCAACTATTTGCATAATTTTAGTTTTATTACTACTCTAACAAAAGTGTTTTTTCTTTTTTTAATTTATTACTTGTCATTAGATTTATTCAATTTGTATGATTTGTGTATCTAAAACCTTTAGAAGGGGAAAACCTACTATTTTACAAAAGCTCTCTTCCTGGTATTGTTTCATATATTCTAGTACAAGGTGTCAATATTTTCAAATTCAAGGAAATTATCATTGTTAATATCAATGCACAAGCTTGTGATTTTTTTTTCTTATTTTGTTTTCCAGACATAGAAGCCTATGAAGTTTGATAGCCAAAGCACAAGCGTTTCCAGCCTAAAACAAATTGCATAATTAATCAAAGAGAGGAATACAAATCAATAAGTCATTCACTCTAAATCATTAGCTTATTCTTTTCTCTCTCTCTTTTTTTTTTTTTAGACACAAGTTATTTATTCTCAAGTACCATAAAGAAAACAAGTGAAATCCATGGTAGAAGACAAATAAATCTCCTTCCTATGGAGGGTTGGTCTCTGTAGATTTCGACTCTCTGAGTTTCTTCTCATCTGATAATACTTTTGCAATCCTATAGTATAACAGTAAAAGAATATATGTTAGTGATTTTAATAAAATCTATAGGAAATTTTTGTATGGGGAGTCTATCAATTATACTTCTACCTCTTGAGTTCTTCTTTATTGGTGCTGCCATTTTCCACTGGTTCATATAAACCGGTATCCATATTCATGCGACTAACGGTTTTGTTCAGCAAACTCTCCCCACATTTCACAAGATTTTCTAAATTCGCCCGTGTAGATGTGTCAGCTGATGCCAAATCTCCCTTCAAAGTGTCATCCTAGTTTTCCAAGCACTAGTTAATAAACACAGACCATTTGAACAAATACCCCTACTAACCACATATATAAACCAAACCAGATCAAACTGAATGTAAATGCCAAGCTTACATCAATTCGAAGGTAGCTGCGCTCCGAATCAAGGGCTTGAAAAACTGCAACATTATGATACTCAACCATGTCTTTGCTAGCATCGTCATAACAATCTATTATTGGGGTATTCCCATCTTCATACAACCAGCATATAATACCCCACTTAGAAGACATCTTAGCATTGTATTTTTGTTCAGATTTGTTGGAGCCTGTCCCCAAGGAGACCACAAGAAACCGAGTGTAATCCAGGGTCTTGATGTCGGGGAAGAAATCTGGATTCTTTTTGGTTATTTGTTTGGTCACCTCACTAATAGCAACCAGTGTCTGAAAAATTATAAGATAACAATGTTACTCCCTCTTGTTTTTATTTTTTATTTTATTTAAAATTTATTCTAGATTAATAGTAATTTTTTTATATTTTAAGGTAGACATTTTTTTAAGTTTAATTTTATTATTATCACTTTTACTTTAATTATCCATCTTATTACTAGTATATACTAAAGTCTTTCTTTATCTTAATATATATATATATATATTTTAAAATAATATAAATAAAAATATCAATTATCCCTAAATTTTTTAATCCAAAAGTAAAATAAAAGAATGCCTATTCTATTATTATTCACTGTGCAATGTTTAGGACAGTACTCAATCTTTTTTTATTTCCAACCCATAAAAAAAAGTTATGTTAGAGAAATTACGGGATTAGTAGCTGCTACGCCACCATCAATCATGTTGAATTCTTCTTCATTGCCATTCTTGTCCCTATTCTTAAAATAATAGGAAGGGAAGTAAGTTTCTGCCGCAGAGGTGGCTATGCAGATGTCTGAGAGGGCAGCATCAATTACTGGACGGCTTGTAACCTGCACTTGAAAAATTAATCTCAACAGCATATTAACCTCTCTCTAGCCTTCATCCCATCAGGCCTTATGCGTGCGCGTGTGCATATCTGTTGTAAAAAATTAAAAACAATAAAAAAACCTGGTAGGAGGAGAAGATTATAGGCTGGAGTTTCTTGATGTCAAAAGTCGGAATCACAACATTTGTCAGTGTTTGATGCAACCTCATATCCTTTAGTAGCTTCCTTACCAGACTGTGAAGATATTTCCCATCATATTTGGGTCCTGTTAGAAGTTTCCACCATGTAACCAACCAAGCAAATGGTCCACTGCAATTCTCCGAGAGCCAAAAAGGACATAACCAACTTGATATAGATGAAGGACGAACAATCCTATATAGATTTGGAATCAATGTTATTTGTAATGATTAATGCATAGATTACCTTACTTGTGGGAAAATTTTAGGACAATTCTCAAGGTAGAAAGGGACTATCTCCTTGGCGGCAAAAAGAGGACGGCCATTTTCTTTTGGTGTCGTTAACATTGCTGCTATGAGACCACCGGTGCTTGTTCCAGCAATTACGTCAAAATAATCTGCAAGCCTTGCGTCTTCGCCATCAAGTTTCTGTATATACACAAAATGAAAATTAAACAAAATCGACAAAGCATCGAATCTGCAAAAATATATGTCTCAAGATGAAGGCGTCTTATTATTGGCACCTGAAGTTCGGATTCGAGAAAATCAAGCATAACTCCAGGAATGATTCCTCTTACTCCTCCTCCATCGATACTGAGTACAGTAATAAGATTCCCACACCTTGGAGGTCTAGGATAGGAGGACATCATTGTCTCTGTCATTTTTGAATTTCGATCTCCTTGAAGTTGGAAAGAGAATGTAAGGTACCTGCAACTGTTGGGAGTTGGAAAACATAAATGCAATGGGGGGGGGGGGTGAGATTAATTGGGCCGCTGTTTATGTATATTTCTTGTTGGTATATGAATGTGACGAAGGAAATTAAATAAGCAATAATGATACCAACATTGTATTTAGAAATTGTAATTTTAGTACTCTGCTTAAAAGTTGACTTTTGATGTTTTTTTGATATAATTAAAGATGTACGCAAATTCTTTGAAACTCATCGTGAATTCGTAATCATCATGACTAACAGCAGTTCGGGTTTGGAGAGGAAGTGAAAAAAAATTAAAGGAATCAACAAAAGTTAAAAACAAAAAAAAATTATTTTACAATTTAAATTATAACAAATTGTAAAACAAAAATTATTAAACAGAGAAACAATCTCTAATATCTAGGATTTTGCCCTTATTAAGTAGTTTAAGTAATATACTCCAAATTACAAAATATTTTTTTGCAAAAAATATTAATATAGAGAAAGGTATAAGGCCATATATTAATACTTGATCTAAAGGCCATTCCTTTGTGATTGTGAAGGTTTTCAGGTTCTATATCATCATCAACTGGAACGATGACATATAAAGGGACATAAAAAAGATTTCGAATTTTTCTATTGAAAAGATGAGTGTGTTTCTTCAGTAAAACCCCTTGCTTTATCTATTAAACAAAAGAAATGATTAAATCATTATTTCCTTCTGCACGTCATTGTTTCTTTTTAGACATCAAAAGTTGCCCAGTTTCTCATCTGAGGGTGCTAATTTGGTTGGCAAATGGATAAGGTTGCTAAAGAGTTTACTCCTCAACTTATTCTTTCTGATATGATATTTTGAAGAGGTTAAATAAGGATATGATTTTTATAAACTCTCTAATTTTTATGTGAATGATGTTGTGATGTTAACCAGATAGAAAAGAAGAACATGAACTTAATTACTATGTTACATAATCTATTTAACATTCAATTTATAGATATAGATTGATTTATGCTTCCGACCCTAATATACAAGAGCCAATAAAATTACACAACATTTTATTAATCTGTTTTATTAATGTCAAGAAATCATTTCACCTCTCTTCTATTTTTTTTAAACCAAATATGCGTACAACAGTAGTAAACTTATCAAACCATTTGTTATAAAAATTTATTGTTTTCTGTGATTTTTAAATCATTTTTTTAATGAAAAAGTGGCCTGGAACTTGCTTCCAGTAGTATAATTCTGAAGTTATTCTATATTTCAAGTATGAATAAGATAATAGAGTGGAATGAATTGATAATAAAGATTAGTATACAAAATAAGATGTAGATTAGATCATCTGATGATTATAATAATGGAGGTAGGTATAAATAGTTAAATGTGTTTCTCGTATGATAAAAAAAAATGTGTTTCTTGTATGATAGAAAGAAAGTGTGTTTTTAATTTCTTGTGTGATTAAAAAAAAAATGTGTTTCTTGTATGATAAAGAAAAAAAAAGTATTTCTTGTACTTCACCCCTTGAGTAAGGAAAACTCAAATGCGGAATTGACTAAAGAAACGTTAGGGAATTTTTGACCGACCAATGAATTGATTTTTTTTTTATCGGAAAGACAAAATATTTTATTAGAAAATAGTTGAGGAATAATATTTTATATAATTTTTTCATATAATTTTATATGTCATTTAATTATTTAAGAATATATAAAAATTTTATACCAATAACTTATTAATTCAAGTAGAATGAATTTGATTTTTTTTAAATAAGATCTTGAATTCAAATCTTATAAATAAAAAAATAAAATTTAAGAAAATTTCCTCTTATAGGATCCAAATAAAAAATATATGAAAATTGTATACTAAAAAAATTATATAAAAATTATTTTTATATCATTACCCATTTTATTAATAGAGAAATCAGATAATACATCTCTTTCTAATCCCCTCTACTACACAGTTGATTAATTAATACATTAAACAAAGAGATAAATATTTACCCAAAAAAAAAGAAAAGAAAAAAACAAAAAACAAAGAGAAAAAGATGTGTTTTTTAAAGCCCATAAAAATATGATTCTAAGAGGCCCAAAGGTCTGATTTACATTAATTAATGGG